GTGGGTTTTGGTGTCTGGAGAGGGTCCTGAAGCCAAGGAGGCAGCGTGTCTGTGTTTCCCACGGATTCTGCTCCCGTAGGACCCTGACTGATACATCCCTAAGCCTTTTGTTGTGTTGCAGGTTGCAGCCTGGTAATTGAGTACTTTGGTTTTGTTGTATTTTCTCCTCTTTTTTTAGGAGAGAGTCCTGTGGTCCCTCTCAGACTAAGTATTTGCTTATAGCGTACAGGTGCAAAAGATGTGGTCCAGTCACATGTGGATGTCAATGGCTATGCTAAGTATCAGATTATTATTATTATTATTATTATTATTATTATTATGGGCCTGGTGTGGTAGCCTAGTGACTGAAGTCCTCGCTTGCACGTGCCAGGAAAACCATATGGACGCCGGTTCTAATCCTAGTGGCCCAGCTGCATCACTTCTCATCCAGCTCCCTGCTTGTGGCCTGGGAAAGCAGTCAAGGACGGCCCAAAGGCTTGGGACCCTGAACCCATGTGGGAGAGCTAGAAGAAGCTCCGGGCTCCTGGCTGCAAATTGGCTCAGTTCCAGCCATTGTGGCTGCTTGGGGAGTGACGCATCTGAAGCATGATCATCCTCTCTGTCTCTCCTCCTCTCTCTATGTATGTCTGACTTTACAATAAAAATAAATAAATCTTTTACAAATTATTATTATTATTAGAAAGGTAGAGTTACTCGGAGAGGGAGATCTTCCATCTGCTGGTTTACTTCCTGAATGGCTGGGCCAGCTAGGGCTGGCCAAAGCTGAAGCCAGGAGCTTGGACTTCATGGGGTCTGCCATGTGGACCACAGGGACCCAGGCACTTGGGCCTCTTCTGCTTTCCTATGAACTAGATTAGAAGTGGAGCAACCCAGTGCTCACCCGGGAGGCCAACATTGTGGCCAGCAGCCTAGGTCTCCAATTGGAACTGAAGGAAGTAGAGGCGAGAAGTTTTCCAATGACCGGGCTGCCTTACAGTCTGTTGGGCTCTCCTTACTCCGTGAGTTTTCAGGGCCTGGTGTAGAACCTTCGCTTTGGGCTGACCGTGATCTTGGTGTTCATTGCTTTACAGGAGTTTTTAGGACTCTTCAAGCCACACTGAGTATGTGTGGCTTGACGACTGTACTGCTCAATGGAGAGCAAGCTGATAGCTTTAACCACAGAAGCACCAGACTAGGGGAGGGTGCCAGTCTCGGCTGAGGCACACACCATCTCCCTGAGCACGGTGCCAGTCTCGGCTGAGGCACACCCCATCTCCCCCAGGAGGGTGCCAGTCTCAGCTCAGGTACACACCATCTCCCCGAGAAGGGTGCCAGTCTCGGCTCAGGCACACACCACCTCCCCGAAGAGTCCCTTGTTGGTCCCTGTTCCAACAGAGCGCTTGTTTCTGCTCGCTCTTCCTGCACAGTTGCTCACTGTATTTGTCATGCTGGTGTGAGGTCACAGAGGCGATGGGCTGGGGGTGAAGTTCAGCTCCAACAGCAGAGTTGAGCAACCTGAGCTTGACCGTTCACTAGACATGAGAGCTGTTGGCCAGGCCCCACGGGAGCAGGGCGGAGTGCAGTACCTCCCGGCCAGGGCACTGCGGCCATTTTCTTCTCCCAGCCTTAGCTTCCTGGTGAAAAGTCAAGCTTTGAGAGTCACACTTGAGGAGTTCCAAACAGGCAGGAAAAGGACGTGTCAGAGCAGCTCCTTTGTCTGGTGTGCCCACTGCTGAAGCTGGGCTGCCTTGTCCAGCCTGGGTAGGAAGGAGCAGAGATCCGACACATCTGAGGTTGGGGGGAGTGTGGCCCCTTGTGCAGCGACACAGCCTGGAGAGTCCCTCTCGGGCTTGAGCTGGGGTGCAGGGTGCAGTTGGCACAGGGAGAGGAATCACTCATGGTGGTTCACCCTCTGGATATATATATTTTTAAAGCGTGTATTGTCATTGCCCCCCCCCTTTTTTTTCTTTTAGTTTTTCCATATTTGTTTCTATTTCATTTGAAAAGTAGAACATCAGAGAGAGAGAGAGATGTTCCATGTGCTGGTTCACTCCCCAAATGCCCTTAGTATTTGATGCTGGGCCAGGCCAAAGCCAGGAGCCAGGAACTCCATCTGGGTCTTCCATGTGGGTGGCAGGGACCCAAAGGCCCGAGCTACCCCCCGCTGCTGCTGGCTGTGGTGCATGTTAGCAGGGAGCTGGCATTGGGAACAGGGAGCTGGCATTGGAAACAGGAAGCTGGCTTTGGGAACAGGGAGCTGGGACTCAACCAGGCACTCTCCTAGGGGCTATGGTGTCCCAAGAGCCTCCTTAATTCCTGCTCCAGTGTTTGGCCCCTGCTTTAGATAGTTAGTTTGACATCCCCAAAAAATCAGCTCTAAAAATACTAAATCCAGTTTCGTAAGGACAGAGCCAAGCCAAGTAGCACCACGAGCAGGGATGGCTTCCAGGTTTACATCCTTCACAGTGTGACCACTACAATGCAAACTTGGCGCTTCCTGGGAATGTTGATTTGGAAACTCAGGCTGAGGGAGAGTCAACAGGGCCTGCCTGGCTGCCTCAGACAGCATTCCAGAACCCAGGGGGGTGTGGAGGAAGGAGCAGCCAAGGCCATCAGGCAGCCTGGAAGGAGCCGCTCTCGCTGTGCCCTCAGAGCCAGTGTGCAGGGTGAGGAGGCTGGCCAGGAAGGCCTGTGGCTCCTGGAGGGCTCTTGCAGAGGTCTGAACACTCCCCAGGGACTGTCTACAGATGATGTCCTCCGCTGTGACATGCCTTCCTCTCTCAAGCTTCGCAGTTAGAACAGAAAGGAAAGCACTGGCAGTTGAGCAAACACCATCGATTCATTAGCCGTGCTTAGCGGTCCAGACAAGCAGGTGGTAGGAGGATTTAGAACTAACAGGAAACCCAAGGTGGCGCTGCCACACCCATTTGGTGCCCCACACCCAGTGCCTCTGGAGAGGACAAAGCCAGATGTGCGGGGAGCTCTTCCATCCACTGTGCGTGGACCTGGGGTGGACACTTTTCAGGGCAGCAGGAGGGAGAAGACTTTTTGCCCTAAGCCCAGGGTCTCTCCTCCCACACACCTGGAGAAGGCTCCTGGCTACCCAATGTGTGGGAGCCGCACCCCAGAAACAACTGTTCATCAGTCAAGGAGGGGACTTTCATCCACCAACAAGATTTGCCCAATCAGGGCTGACACTGTGGCACAGCACGTTAAACTTCTGAGGCACTGGTGCTCCACTGGATGCCGGTTTGAGTCCCAGCGATTCCACTTCCAATCCAGCTCCCTGTAGCACATCTAGGAATGCTGCAGGCCCCTGCCATCCATGTGGGGGATCCTGAAGGAACTACCGGCTCCTGGCTTCAGATTGGCCTGGCTCCAGGCATTGTGGCCATTGTGGCCATTGTGGTCATTGGGGGAGTGGACGAATGGATGGACGCTCTTTCTCTCTGTTTGTTGTAACTCTGAGTGGCGTGGAGACACAGAGGCGCCACGTGAGTACGTGTGCTACGCGACTGCATGGAAGGGAGGCCAGGGACAGGCAGGTAGCAAGCTGCTGAGGAATGCAGATGGAACATCTTTGAAGTAAGGAAGTGATGATGACAGAGACCCGGATGTTTACCTGCAGGCAAGAGGGAGGAGGGTGCCGTGACCAAGAGGGGTGTGCTAGTTCCAGGGTTGGCTTTGTAATCACTCGTGGGAGTGGGTTGGGGAGGGGAGACTCATGACTGTCTTGTGTGTTTATGTCTCACACATGCACACACACACACAGAACTATAGTATAAAATGACTCCTCAAAGCCGAGCTGCCCGGGCAGGTTGGTCAGACTTGCCCCTTGCTGGCGGCAAGACTCTTTGTTCTTGACTCCTCCCTCTGCCTCTCCTCCCCACTGCAGATGGACTGGGTGATCCAGTGCCCATCAGATCCGAGACTGCCTGCGTGGCTGCCTTGGTGGGTGGGGTGCCAAATCCCACTCCTCTCTCAACTTTGGGGGCAAGTTCTTTGGCTGTCTTAGACGTTGGAACTGGGGAGGTCCCAGGGAGCTAGGACAGCCTTCTGGAGCTTCCTGGAGGGCAGAGAGCATCCCTGGGCCACAGGGCCGTGGTAACTCCTCCGAACCCTCCACTAGGCTGAGGGTCTTCCTCCATAGTAGGACACCAAGTGGCCTTTTCAGGAAAGGCAAAAAAAAGTGCTAATAGCCCAGGGGATAGAAGCACCTGGTAGATGCTGATCTCAGCCAGTTAGGTCTGTGGGTCCCACAGCTGTCAACCAGAGAGGACGCATCTGTGCCCCCCAACAAGGCCTGCCTCGGGCCCCACAGTGCCAACTGCAGGAGCAGTGGCTCAAAGAAGCTGAGCTGTGGTGACAGAATGCCCAGCAGGCTGCCGGTCTCACTGTCTGATGGCTTCCCTCTTGTCTCTCCTCCTAACGGGTGGAACCCCAAGATGATAATGTCCCCAGGTGCAGTGAGCGCACAGCCACTGCATCTTCCCAATGTTGATTTACACACACCTTCCCATGTGAGACAGTGCCTGTTCAGGACCTGGCCAGGAAGCACAGGACACTGGACCTCTAACATGAGCACACAGCCACCGACCTGCCTCTGTGCAGTTCCCGTTTGTGGAGGAGCTGGGGGTGGGGGCCCTACCTGGACTTAAATTTGTGCGTGTTCTTAGGTGGTGCTAATCCCACTGCTGTGCCTTCCCCCGCCCCAGATCCTGGGTGAATATCTGGAAGGTTCTTGCCAGCCATCTTCACTCCCATGACCTTGGGCCCCTCCCACCGACCAAGCTAGGTTGTCAGGAAGCCATGAGGAAGCAGGAAGTGGAAAGCACAGGAGGGTAGAAAGGTGCATGGCAGGCATGGAACGTGTGAGCAGGTGTTAGGAGTCTCCTGTTAGGAAAGTATTGCCGTGCACAGTCCAATCAGAATGTGGTAACGATGCTCTACGGTCCTGTCCCGCAGAAGTTGGGAAGGAATTGTAGAAAACTCATCCGTGTCTGCCTTGTTGTCTTTGACAGGATGGAATCGTGTCCCCGGGTGACCTGGACCTCGTCATGTCGGATGGTCTGGGCATGCGGTATGCGTTCATTGGTCCCCTGGAGACAATGCACCTCAACGCCGAAGGTGGGCCTGGGGCAGGGGTGGCACGCCTGTGCTCCTGTTTCTGTGGGTCTCCTTGAGTTTTCCCTTTTCTAATAGCATCTCCAGATGATAGCCGGTCCCGGGGTTCAGGTTTGGGTTGGGGCGCAGAGCACTGCGTGTTGAGGGGTACGGCAGTTCCCACTTCTCTGTTGGGGACACATTCCAAGAGCACCCATGCCTAAGACTGAATCCCAGGGACACCACATTTTTTTCTTACACAGATGAAAGTGCTCGAAGAAATTCCTGGAAAAGTGGAATGAAAAGATGAGTTTATTTTGGCACAATGAGATTTGACACTGCATTCATTTTTTTTTTTTTCATAATGAACATTTCCCATGAACTTTTTGGAGAAATAAGCATAGATTTCAAGATTTTTTGCACCAAAAACAAATTTTATTTTATCTTATTTAAAAAAACCCTACGAATCTTTGTTTGAAAGAGGTGGATATCTTCCTTTTGTGGTTTACTCCCTAAGTGGCCAGGGTTGAGCCAGGCTGAAGCCGGGAGCCAGGAGCCTCATCTGGGTCTCCCGCATGGCTGGCAGGGTCCCAAAAGCCTGGGGCTTTTTCGGTTGCTTTTCTCAGACCGTTAATAGGGAGCTGGATCAGAGGTGGGGCTTCTGTGACACACACCGACACCCACAAGGAATGTTGATGTCACAGCTGGCAGCACTACACATATGCCACCATGCCATCGCCCAATTTTGATTTTAGACCACTTTCCCCCAAACATGCAGAAGGATGCTTATACAGACCTATGGTAAAGTTTAATTTAAAACAACGTTGATAAAATGGAACAATTATACCAGCATACTATGGTAAACATCACTTAAACCACATGAACTAGTTGGAGCTAGAATTTTGCATTTACCTTGGGAGCATGGTAGACTGCAGGTGGCTGAGTGATGGAAGGCAGGACCTCGGGCCGGGTGTGAGAGTTGGTGAACTGCAGGCTCTGGGTGGCACAGGGCCTTCGGGGCAAGGCCGTGACCTTGCTGTGTGGCATCCAGCCTGTTGGAAAAGAAAGTTGTATTTTCCTGAGGAGGAACGAAACACCAAGAGGAAACTCTGCTGGAGGCCTCTCCCGCCTAGATGGGAGTGACATCTGAGTGTGCTCTAGCACCCAGAGGGTCCTTTTGCAGAGGGCAGGGAGTTACCAGGCGGCCACACACACACACACACACACACACACACACAGCCTGCTTGGGGTAGCTGCAGTGTCTGGAGCTGACTTCAGAAGTGGGAGTGGATCCTGATCCAATAACCATACAAGAGAGACAAGTCAGGCAGGTTCCAAGAGCTCCACTGACCAGGCTCCAGATGATCCAAAAAGAGGCATCAGCAATTAGAATCTATTTAATTCGGCAATTAAAAATAAATCTAAGGAATGATGGTTAAGAATCTGGTAAGCCGTCACATAGATGCTGTGATTCCGTACTGTATCTTACTGTTGAGGTTAGAAGTAATTTTCACTACCTGCTTGCTTTATTGCCTGCCTCATTTTATGACCTTTTTTTTTTGTTGTTGTGAATTTCTGCAATGACCATGTATTGCTTTAATAATATAACTAACTAATAAAGCAGGAGAATACTCCAAAAAAAAAAAAAAAAGGTTGTGGGAAATGGAATTAAAAGGTGCCTATTTTCAGTGCAAACATATCTTGAAATCCATGCATGGTTTCTCATAAGATGTGTTTGTCATGGACTTGCTGGTGCAGAACGAGAGGACAGGCTGCACTTCACAGAGGATGTTGAGAGACTGGGGCTGATGTAGACAGAGCTGGCCAGAGTGGTGTGTCTGTCACCCATGTCTTCTATGGTGGCGGAACCAGAATGAAAGCCTGAAATGGCAGGCACTTGGATTTGGGCTCAGCACATGACAGGAGGAACATTCTAGTAACCAGAGCCTGGGTCGAGGGAGGGCTTCACTTTGGAGTGTGTGGGTGGAGCCAGGGTGGCTGGTTGCCTGCCGGTTGGGCTGTAGGAGTCAGTAGTTGGCCCCTTAGAGTCTGCTTGAGTTCAGGTCTGTCATTCCACAGGGCTCCACTGATGGTTCAGTCCACTTCCCCGCTCCGGGATAAAGGGAATGTCCCTGCCAGTGTGGAATCCAAGGTGGTTTCGTGAGAGGCGTTCTCACGCACAGCAGACACACACAGGATTTCCCAAGTGGATTGGCTCTCTGGGCCATGAGAATGCAGTCTGATAACTGATTTGATTGGTTCTTCAAAACATCTGGTGTTGCTCAGAGGAGCTGCTAAGAGAGGGAGGGAGTCCTCGGCTAGCACCAGGATGTTGGTTTCATGACACTCGTAGTGATGCAGGAAGATTATGTAAGGGAGTGAAGGGTTTTGAAGTGTCATTAAAGTAAAATCTCAGAGGCATGCGTTTAGCCAGTAGTTAAGGTCCAGGTAAGACACCTATGCACCATGCTGGAGTACCTGGGTTCAATACCTGGCACCAGCTCCTGCCCTCAGCTTCATGCTCATGGGTCGTTGTAATGGCGCATGTCCCTGGGTTCCTGTCATGCGCATGGGATTGAATGTCTGCTTCCCAGCTGTGGCCCTGGCCATTGCAAACATTTGGAGAGTAAGGCAGCAAATGGGAGGGGTGTGTGTGTGTGTGTGTGTGTGTGTGTGTGTACGCGTGTGCCTCTTAAATTAAAATAAAACCATCTTGGATCATTTTTAATGTTTTCTCAGCCAGAACTTCCAAAGTGATGGCCTTACGTATTTGAATTGTGTGTAGACAACACTGCCTGATGACCACCATGTGATTCTCTTTTCGTTATTTTTTTTTTCCCTTGAGAAAAATAGGATAATTGAGCTATCATGAGATGCTGATAGGGAGAAAACTGAGAACTGATGTAACTCGCAAACACACAGAAGCAGAGGCCAAGGAAATCAGAAACTGCAGGATAAAACGAGGTGGCAGACAGGAAGGAGGCTCATAACAATTTTTTCAGACAAAGTAGATATGATAAGAAAGGCTAATTGGCTTAGTAGACCGTGGTGGGTGGATGCAGCTTTCATCTTCAGAGCATTCCGACGAGTAGGGGTAGACAGCTGTAAGATCTGGCTTGGAGCCGCTGCAAGTACTCACCACTCTACAGTGTTCCCTAACACCCATCAAGATTGGAGCCAGGAGAATTCTTCCCATTTTCTGATCTTCTTTCCAGAAAGCCAACCTCTCAGGTCAAAGGATATAAGTAGTCTCAAAAGCTCCTGGTTACCTTAGACCCAGCACAAATGTTTTAGGATTTGTTTTGAAATGAGTCAAATAGACCTGAGAAACCGGGAGCCAGCATGCTGGCTTGGCCACCTTCTGCCTCCTTTGTCACCACTTTGCTACCCCCACGGGGAGCAAACTCACAGGATGGAGTGGGGCCGGCCCCTCCCGACTGTGGACTGGGCCAGCTGTCCGGCCATCACACCTGCTGGGACAGGCACTTGAGGTCAGCATCCCCTTGGCTTCCTGGATGGAGTGTGGCAATAACAAGGGAACAGAACCGGGTGGGAGCCACTCTTGCTTTGCCCTGCTCCTTTTTGGAGTGAGCACCTGTCTTTCCTCAAATCAGGGGCCTGCTTGCTGGGTTTGGCTCCTTTTGTGACCTGGGAACCAGGTCTTGCTTGGGAAACTTGATCCCGGAGGAGGCTCTGGGCTGTCGGGCCATTTTAATCTTCCTTAGAGCCTGACTGGGAAAGCAGGTGGATTCAGTAGTTATGGGACCACAGGCTGTGCGCAAACCAGATTCCTCTACCATGGGCAGTGTCCATGGCCCTCGAGAAACCAAATACCCACCCAGCAAACCTCAACTGGGGCCGTGTCCCTGGGTGAGGCTGAAGTCACCACCCATGCCTGCTGCGTGAATGGGATGACAGGAAGCTCCATGGTGCGCACCTGCGGGGCTGCTGTTAGGAAAAGATAGCCCATGACCTCACCCCTGGGGGCTGGGGACTGAGTGGGCACAAGGAGAAAGTCAGCAAGATGAGCTTCATCTACATTGTTGGGTTTTTTAAATTTGTTTTTCTTTTCCCATATTAGCTTTTTGTTGTTGTTGTTGTTGCAAAATTGGGCCCAGGGGCTTGTATGGAGCTGAGCTCTCAAAGGGTTTCAGAAGGACAAAGCTCTTGGAACAGAGGACGGAATGAACTAGCGGGCTACAAGGCAGGGGCGGTGGCTCGTGCTTGCTTTCTTGTTCTTTTTGAGTAGTAACAACTCCAGTCTCCTCTGATGGCAAGGCCAAATTACTACTGGAAGTAAAATCCCCTCTTTGTGCCTCTTAAATGGAAGGGGGTTGTGTCAAACGGCAGTAACAGAAACATACTGGGAGGCCCTGGGGAAGGATGAGGTAGGAGGCAGGTTGTGAGTCCATACTGCTGGCCGTTCTTGTGTCGGGAGCACGCCGGGGAAGGAGGCCACGCACAGCTGGGTCACAGCATGTGCTGTTCATGCCTTCACCTTGCCATGTGCGGGGCAACCCCGCACCCCCAAATCCCTGGAGGATGTGTTCCAGAAAAGGCTCTTACACTGGGATAATGACAGTCTTGACTGGTTTCCTGGACAAAGGCCAGGTAATGGTGCAATGAATTTGACAAGATTTTATCAAATTTTGGAAGAAGCAGTGTCCCTTTAAAACTACAAATTCTTGGGCCGGTACACAGCAAGTGAAGCTGCCACCTGCCATGCCAGCATCCCGTATTTGGAGCGCACATTCAAGTCCCAGCTGTCCCGCTTCCAGTCCTGCCCCTCTGTAACATGCATGGGAAGGCAGTGGGGAATGGCCCACGAACCTGGACCCCTGCCATCCATCCTAGCTTCCACCTGGCCCAGCCCAAACTGTTAGCGCCGTTTAGAAACTGAACTAGCAGGTGGAAGATTCTTTCTCTCTTTCTCTCTGTCATTCTGAGTTTCAAATAGATTAAATCATTAGATCACACTTTTTCTTTTTTTGCAAAATAAAACTTTGCAAGTAATGCAAAAGGCAGTAGGAGAGGGGGAAGACATTTCTAGAAGCCCATGGAGCTCTTGTCCAGAGGTGAATGGTGCACGCGGCACTGCTGCCCCATGGGAGAGGGAGAGAAAGAGGAAGAGGAAGTTGGCAGCCAAGGAGGACACAGCCACTGAGCATCTTAGCTTCGCCTGGAGTCTCCACCCCTCTAGCAGGTTAAACCGCATCTCGATGCTTCGTGTTTCGTTGGAATAAGTAGGGGGACACTTAAAAAGCTGAAGAACTACTCTTTCATTTTGTTGCAAAAGAGTTCTGGAATTCATAGCACACATTATCCGCATACTTTCAAAGATCCCTAGCGTGTCTGGTGTTCAGGAGTGTTCTTGTTTCGGGTTTTGACATCAAAATGGGCTTATCTGTAAATTCCACTTTGCACAAATGTTTTTGAAGTAGCTTGTGAGTGAGCAGAGGTGAGGTAAGCACTTTGTTGTTGAAGGCAGATAATGATGTGGATTCCTTTCCGTCGGGGCTGAGCCCTCCGGGATGACCAAGAGCTGGGACATTGAGGGATCCTTCCAGAATTCTCAACTGCAAAGTTCACACATGCCTTTAAAGGAACCACCCCCACCTTTTTTTCTTTTTTTAGAGCTTTTGTCTGTTGTTTCATCGTAGGTACCAATGTCAGAAAAGTGGGTACATTTTAACTTTTTATCCCTCCATGAAATATCCCTTCTTGGGGAATTTGAGCATGCTGTGAGCCAGGAAGTGTTGAAAGCTAATGAACGCAGGTTTCTGCATCTGGGGAGGTCAGTGACAACGATAGCCAAGTGCAGAGGACATTTGTCGGCCCTTTTTTTTTTTTTTTTAAGTGAACAACACTGATTATTTGTATACCCAGTTAGCCATACAGTTTTTGTGGGGGTAGAAGGAAGAACCAAGCTTGCTATAGTTTCACTGGTTCTCTTGTTCTCTTTTTAATCCAGAAGACCCATTGCTATTTGGCTCTGGCTTGGTGTTGGATATGTGCCAGAGCTGGGGTGGGGCGTGCACTGGGCTGGGTGGGTTTGCAGGCCGACTGCAGGTGGGCTGGGTCTATGAACTCCCCTGTTCCCGTCTCATTTTGTCTCTCCTTCAGCCCTGCACGGCTGCGTGGGGGTGGAGCGTGGATTGTGCCTCTCTTTTCCTCTCCCTGCGGGCTGAGCCTGTGTCTCGCCGCACGTATCCTTAGGGAGCTGTCTGGAGAATGGGTGCGTTGTGGCTCACCTGGGTTCCAGAGCACCTAAGCAGAGTTAAAGCAAGCGATAAATATATAGCTTAGGTTCAAGTAGCGGCTGCCTTGCCTGGAATTCCTGGAGGAAGGGTGAAATAAGTGACAGGCTGACGGCTGCCGTCTTTGGTTCTTAGAGAAAACACTCGAATCAGGCACACAAATAGCTTTCCGTGGTCCATCGTCCAAGGGGGTGCTTTCGGTGCAGTTAGACACCGTGCTGGCAGCAGACAGTGCGCATGGCCTGCCTCCACCTTCACCCGTATCAGCAGCGTTGCAGGGAGAATGGGAAGAATCTGACTCCAGGGCAGAACCGGCACAGGTGCGCACACACCCTGCGCGGCCCGGAGTTCCTGGGCACACGTGCGCACACACCCCGCGGGGCTCGGAGTTCCTGACATTCTTGTTGATGCGGTTTCTTCTTTGTTGGTGCCATCTCAGGTATGCTGAGCTACTGTGACAGATACAGTGAAGGCATGAAACGTGTCCTCAAGACTTTTGGATCCATTCCAGAGTTTTCCGGAGCCACAGTGGAAAAGGTCAACCAGGTACGCAGACGCCACTCGCTGCTTTGTCTGTCACGGGGGAGCCTTGACCCCTGGTTCCTGTGATTCTTTTTTTTCCTAATTCTGTTATGAGGAGAGCTTGCAAAACATGTGCCTTAGACCTATGTCTGTAGGGACATAGGTCTCTAAGGACTTGGAAAGTTTATATTCATTGAAATCTTTTGTCTTTGAAAGCAGTGGATGGGCGGTCGGCATGCGCAAGAACAACACCTGCACCCCTAATTGTTTTTTTCTTTGTGCTTCTTTTTACTTCTTTGTCTGTTCCCAGGCCATGTGTGTGAAGGTTCCTGCCGACCCAGAGCACTTGGCTGCCCGGAGAGAGTGGAGGGACGAGTGCCTCATGAGACTAGCCAAGTTGAAAAGTCAGATACAACCTCAATAAATGTCATCCATGCTTTCATCACTCCTGTCAGCGCGAGTCCTAGCCAAGGAAATGACAAGCACTTAATCCAGTGTCTCCAAGACAACGGGGAGCCTGGAAGTGGCCAGCCTGGTGGCTCCGGGTGGTGGCCTGTGTCAGCCCTGGAAGGCACAGAGTCCGCGTTGGGATGCCGTAGCAGTACTCGGGTTCTGGGGCTGTGGATTCTTCTGCCACCTGCGTAGTCTGAAGGATTTCATCTTTTCATATGGTGCGATTACCTAGGAATGCACTTCGCAGCCAACGATCCGTTTGATTTAGATCTATGGCAGAATATTTTCAGAATTAATTGTGTTTCCAATCTCTGAGTGCTCCACGACCCCCATTAATTAACAACTACGCTCACTTACTAATGCTTATTCTGAATAAAAGGTTTTGGTTGCATAAAGATGTCTGTTTTCTTCTGATTTTTTTTTTTTTAGTGAGTTATTTATATCTATTTGAAAGGCAGGTGTGTGCGTGTGCTGCAGCCTCACTCCTCGCTGTTTCGCCTTTGGGAGGTGGTGGGACCTGTAGGAGGTAGGGTCTGGGAGGTCCCTAGGTTACGGGGTCGCAGGTGCTGTCCCGTCACTGGTGGTGGCCACCTGAGGCGCGTTCTCAGAGGAGAAGGCGCTCGTACAGTATGTCTCTCCTGCACTTGGCTCTTTCCCACTGTTCTCTATGTTGGGATGCAGGCAACGACGGGGACTTTCAACCCCCAACTTGTGAGCTAAATAAATGCTTTTCTCTCTTTAAGATGTATTTATTTGAAAGGGACAGAGAGAGAGAGAGAGACTCATTCCCCAAATGGCCACAGCAGGCTGGAGCTGGGCCAGGCCAGAGGCAGGAGCCAGGAGCTGCTTCCTCATCTCCTGCATGTGTAGCAGGGTATCAAGCACTTAGATCACCGTCTCTTGTCCTCTCTGCTCTTTTTCGTTTTTAAAAGTCTATTTATTTTTATTGCAAGAAGCAGACTTACAGAGAGAGAGAGAGAGAATGGACAGAAAGAACAATCGTCCACCCACTGGTTTACTCCCCAAGTGGCCACGACGGCCAGAGCTGAGCCGATCCAAAGCTAGTAACCAGTAGCCTCCTCCAGGTATCCCAGGAGCATTAGCAGGGAGCTGGATTAGAAGTGGAGCAGATGATGGCTTAACCCACTGTGCCACAACAATGGTCCCTATCTTGACTCTCTTCATCACGAAGCCTTTCCCAGCATTAGCCTGCAAAGCAGTCCATAAATGCCACGCATGCACTCCCACCCCAGGCGCAAGGCTGCCACAGCTCCGTGTGATATCTGGGGTTCGCTGCAGGTGTCCCTGCCAGCCCTGGCCCCCCAAGGATGTACCAGCCCTGCAGTTCCTGCTGAGCAGCTGCCCTGGTTCACCTGGTAGGGAGGTGCCTTTCTCCATGCCGAGGATGGAAGCAGGCTCCCTGCTTAGGAAGGGATCATTTCAGCCATTGCATGCATGGACCCCGTCATAACAATCACGTACCCCCACAGCACTCACTGAGCGTCGGTGATGTGCCAGCCGTGCTGTGCGTGGTCCCGCCCTTCCCCAAGTTACTGTAAACAACACAGTGGGAATGAAGCAGGCACCGGGGATAGAGGAGGGGCACCACATGACACCCTGCCTTCAGGTGCATTGACAACCAGGCTTGCGCAACAGGGAGGAGGCGGGCATCGCTTACTGGCAGAGGGAGGAGAGGGCCCAGCAACCCTAAGAGGGGGCTCACTGTGGTGGGAAGCGAACTCTGTAAGGAGGCCCCAGCATGGGGAGCCTTCCTCCTAGGGTCGGGGCCTGCTGTCCGTCCGTCGGTGGGAGGCTCGGTGTTAGGATCGCAGCTGGGAGCCTGCTGGAGGCAGAGGCAGTGTAGGCTGTGAAGTCTGGGAAAGCATCCTGAGCAGGAAGCAACAGGAAGGGGTGACAGCCAGGCCAGTCTGCTGCCCAGGAACTGACGTCACTGTACCAGGAAAGGCCACGTGGATTGGGGCAGGGCCAAGTTCCAGCCTTGGAAGAGGCCCTCCTCCTGGTCGTCCTGGAAGCCCCTGCAGGCTCCTTGCTGGCTGACGATGGAGCCCCTCACACTTCCCCAGGGGGTCTCCCCTTGCACCCTGTTCCCTGGCTTTGACTTTTGCACATCCCGGGGAGTCCTTGCTCTGCCTCACCGCCTGCCTCCTCTTCCTCCTTGGATCCCACAGAGGGTGACCACACTGCGAACATGGGATGTGGGTGGGCCCCACATGTGGCCTGTTGGGCTGCTGGCATCTGGAAGGAAGGGGCCGCCGGAACCAGGGCTGCAGAGGTGAGGTGGGGCTGGTGCCGGGCCAGGAGCAGGTAGAGTTTGGGAGTGCATCCGCAGTACTGCTGTGTATTTTGTTTTCGCACTTTCGCTGTCAGAATATTTTTGCATGGGTGTCAGGCATGTTCTGAGACATAGGTGGCTGGCTGTGTCCAAAGGTTCTATGGGAACGCTGAGAGATTCTCACTAATGGGCAAAAAAAATTTGTCAAGTTTAAGAATAGCAGGGAGGAGCCCAGCATGATGGCTCAATTGGCTAATGCTCCACCTCCAAGTGCCAGGATCCCATGTGGGCGTTGGTTTGTGTGCCAGCAGCTCCATATCCATTCAGCTTTCTGCTTGTGGCTTGGGAAAAAAAAAAAAACCAAAAAACAAAAAACCAGAGGATGGCCCAAAAGCCTTGAGAGCCTGCACCCATGTGGGATACCTGGAGGAGGCTCCTGGTTCCTGGCTTTGGATCGGCTCAGCTCTGGCCATCGTGACCACTTGGGGAGTAAACCAGTGGGTGGACGATTGTTCTTTCTGTCCATTCTCTCTCTCTCTCTCTGTAAGTCTGCTTCTTGCAATAAAAATAAATAGACTTTTAAAAAAGAAAAAGAGCAGAGAGGACAACAGTTGGTGGAGCGGTTGAAGCCACTGAAGAGTGTTGCATCAACTGTCCAACTGCCTGATTTGGAGTCTCATTTTTCCATTTCCAATCCAGCTCCCTGCTACCGCACATGCTGGGAGGCAGGAAGAGTTTGGGTCCTTGCCCCCCGTGTTGCACACCTGGGCTGTGTTCGGGGACGCCTGGTTTGGCCCTGACCCACTCCTGTCTGTCGAGGGGATTTGCTAGCCGATGGAAGATCTCTTCCTGCTTTCTCTCCCTTCTAAATAAAAAGTGAAGAGTTGGAAATAAAACAGCGAGGGGCACATTGTAGTTGTAGGAGCGGCTTTGGGAAGACAGTCCTGGAAATAGAGCCAGGTACTGCTCTGACATGGAGCTTGAGAAGGAGCCGAGGATATGCACCCCCCACACAAGGCCCGGGGATCACAGCATTTAGATAGAAGTTGGCAGACTTCATTAGGAGCAGCCCAACCAGTGGAGGGGCCTTTCTGCTTTCCATTTTGCCATACCCTGGGTCTGCTCCTGGGGACTTGGTTATCCATCCATAGCCTCTCTCTGCTGCAGGACCTGCACTGGGCTTCCTGCTCGTGGCCCCCAGCCTCCCTGGTTGGTGCTACTGTGTTCAGTTTGTATCACTTGTTAGGCCCTTGGCAGTGCTGAGGAAGCCGGGCTGGGTGCCCTGTGGAATGTCTCTCTGGTCTGCTGTTTTCTCAGGGTTGGGATTAGGTTTGGAATTTGGCAAGGTGCCCTTCTTGTCCAATCGTAGCGGGGGTACATGGCATTCTTGGCTGACGCGGTGTTCAGGTGACACTGTGGAGGGTCGTGGGCCTTCATGCCCAGAGCTTCTGGGTTACTCCACCATGAGTTACGATCAGAGAACAGGAAGTTAATTACAAGGAGCCGCTCATCAGATAAGGTCCTGACTGGTTTCTGAGTTCTTTTCTCAGAACTGCAAAGCTGTAGATCTTCACCCACGCTGTGTGCTGCTTGCCCAGACACCGTGTTTCCTATACCATGTATTCCTGGGCGCAAGAACTCAAGTCGTCACCCTGTTGCTTGCATGCTTCTCTAAGGAGCTGGGTGTGGGTCTGGCACTGTTCACCCTTGGTTCTTAACTTGGTTTGGAGGAGGTCTAGAGACTATTTGGACGGTACTTGTGTTAGTCCATTTCTCATTGCTTTGTGGAATACCTACAGCAATGAAGGAAAGAGGGCACAGGTGTGTGGTGTAGCAGTTAGGGTAACACATGTGCCTATGTCTCATGCCAGACTGCCCAGGTTTGACTCCCAGCTCTAGCTCCTGACTCCAATTTCCTGCTGAGGCAGGCCGTGGCCAATGGCTTCCTGCCATGGGAGCCCTTGGAGGGAGTTCCCACCTCCAGATTTTGGCTCCAGCCATTTGGAGAATGAACCAGCAAATGGGGGCTTTCTCTTCCTCCTCCCTCAAATATGTAAACACCAATTTTGAAAAAGGAGAAAGGTTTACTTGGCTCACTGATTGATGGCATGCCTAGGCTCTGGCCAGGGCGCCCTGATTGCGGCTTGTGGTGGCATGTTCCCCTGCGTATCTGTGTGCACGTGCTTCCTCCCTTTGTAAAGCTGCTCGGACAGAAGCGTGGGGCTCCACCCTGACCCACCAACTCTGCAGAGGCCTCACCTCTGAAGCCCACAGTTGTAAGAAACTCCCCCACCCCACTGTACAATAAATATTAGACTTTGGTGATGAACTCTAGCCTGTACTTGGGACAGATCACTCAAGTTGTAGGAGTCTGTGTCCCACGGACGAGGACATTGTCTCATACCTGCAGTACTTACAAGCCTGATGGAGATGCTGCAATTCCCATTTCATTGATATTTTATCTTTTTTTTTTTTCCTAGAATGCACGCCTTTTGCACCTGCTGTGTGCCTGGCACTGACCATGTGTTGAAGATACAGCCCTGGATGAAACAGAATACAAATAGCTGCCCTTGCGGAGCTTAGGCCATGGTTCTGGGGGCGGGGGGGGAAATAGAGCATGACCACCATCAGCAGGAGTAGACTCTCAGATAATGTTGAGCGTTGTGGTAAAGTAAAGTAATGGGGAGTGACACAGGTGTGTGTGTGTGTGTGTGTGTGTGTGTGTGTGTGTGTGTGTGTGTGTGTGTGAAAGTCACAGAGTTCCCCCATCTTAGCCTAAGGGGGTTAGCCAGCAGGTATCCAACTGTCTGTTGTTGCAGTTGTTGATCTAGAAGTCTGAGTTTTCTAGGGCTAAATTTAACAGCCTGATTTGCAAATGCTACACCCTTGCTTGAAAGCAAATGGAGATTATAGATGCATATGTCCCCTACTTAAGAGAGAGAGAGAGAGAGAGAGAGTGTGTTCATCTGTGCACTGAGATCTTCCATTCGCTGCCTCACTCCCCGCATACGTTAACTGGGGTTTGACATCCAGGCTGTAGCCAGGAGCCCAGAATTCCATCGAGGTCTCGCACATGGGTGGCCAGGACCCAAGTATGT